AAACATTTACCTCCCTGGTGAGTGCTGTGATGAATTTCATGAATGGAAAAAATGCCTATATATCTTCATTAAAACTACGTGGTAAGATTTTCTGACCTTTATTACTTTGGTTATACATAGTCATAGCTGACTGATATGCACTTGTTAGTGACTTGCCAGCCTAACGTTACGCCACTACTTTCAACTGAGGTCAGTACAGTATAACGTAAATTGGGAGAATCGTGTCCAAATTTTATTTCACAGAGGATTTTACAGGTTTACCTCTTGTGACGATTTTTATTCTCATTTGTTTACCCTTTGGAGCTACTTTTAGTTGGTATAGCCGGCAAGTTAAAGTTAGCTCGGTTAACTATAAGCTTGCTTGCTAGCTAGCTGTCTGAAGTAAAACAAATGAACAAAACCACAAATACTTACATTTAATCTTCTTCGAGATGTTTCTCTGGGAATTTCAATGTCCACTTCACGCAAATAGCGTTTATATCGACCCAATCTGCGATGCATCATGGCTGCAAATTCCTGTTCTCCTGTCCACTACTCTTCAACGGCGAGTTATGAGTCTCTGCAGAACAAAATGGGCGTTCCCCAAGCAGTATGGGCGGGTTTCAAGCATCCAATCAGAGAACGTAATGGGCGTTCCCCAAGCTGTATGGGCGGGTTTCAAGCGTCCAATCATCGTTAAACCTTTTTTTCGGTGACAAAAAACAACGCTTTGGAACCGCCCACTGTAATACACTTCCAGCGCTTGAAATCCGCCCACTCGCTTCTGTGTTCTGCAGAGACCTCCTCGTTGTCGCGCACCAATGACAATTCAGCACGCTCGCGCAGCTGCATAATTTGAATTTGACAGTTGACAGTTGTAGCTAGTATTGTGGTAACCGCATTTACTTATATTTTAAGTCTTAAATGGCAGTTTTAAATATGTATGGATTGTTCGATTTTTTTGAGGAAAATACTCTAAGTGTCGGACCCTTAAGTTCAGTTAATTTAACTGGCACTGGAATGACCACAAATGAACTGAACCCGAAAGACTGGAATGTGGAGAAGGAGGTATTGGTGCGGTGGGGAAAGTACCTTTACCCGGCCAAAATACTGGACATTTCAGGTAAGAAATTTCATATATCGTCCACAGATGACTGGCAATTTCACCTATTAATATATTAAAACGCAAATACGCTAACGATAGACTGTTTGATAAAGCTAACATTGATTTCAGGCTAGGTGCTCTGTTACAGCTAACTTTCTTAACGTGTTGCTACTGTAGCAGTATGCAAGAAAAAGCCTTTACCTCAGAAAATTATTATATTAATTGAAGTATCGATATTTTAGTAATTTGGGGTAAATGTGTTGTTTATCATTAACAGGAACACAGTGGAAAGTAATTTATGTATTTAATATTTGCACTCCATATTGACATACCAACATATTGTTCTTATTCTCAACTAGAAAATGAGCAAATGCTCTCAGATAAAAGAGAGGACCTTATAAAGGGCTCAGCTGCCAATGAGGAGTGTGGCAGAGGGAGGCGGAAGAAAAAACCTGTCCAGTATTCCTCGGATGATGAGCAATGTGAGATGCCAAAGAGAAAAAAGGTGCCCTACTTTTTTCAGTTAATTATAAAATGAATTGCAGTGGGGAAATAAGGATTTCGCTTTTGATTAGCACAGGTATTTCAGTAGCAACACAATTGGAATTACTTTTACTAAAAAAAACAACAACAACAATCCTGCCCCCCATGGTATATTCTTGCTCTTTGTTTTTCTTGCTCTTTGTTTCCACTAAGCCATTAATATTCCATGTCTCTCTTAAGACTGAAAAGAAAGCTGTGCATCCAGCGCAAATTGAAAAACTTCTCCAACAAAGAAAGCAAAGACTCAGTGTAAGTTCTGTCATTTGTCATCAAATTGATAGAAATGATCTTGGCCATTATCCAGTTGGTTGATTTGCATAATTAATTTACAATGCCACTGTTTAAAATTTGCCATCGCTGCAAACCATGGATTGTCTAGGACTGTCCGTTACTTTGTTTGTTATGACACAAAAATCCCCCATTTACAAAATGCATGATGTCTTTCTTTTTCACTCTTTAAGGCTGAAAAAGAACCCAGGAGAGAGCAGCTAACTGTAAGTTATTCATCACCCATGACACAGATGAAATACCTAACAGCAACTTTTATCTACTTTCTTCTTTATTAAAAGTATCCCTGGCTAGTGAGACATTTTGGCTTTACAAGACTGTGATGGTGGGGGCGTAGCAGTTAAGGAACCTGATTAGCATGCTAAGTAGCGTGGAAATTATTCGAATTAGTTTGAATCCTGACTGCCACATTGTGCCCTTGATCAGCTTTATGACGTCAAATTTTGCCCTGATTTGCTTGAATCTCTTTCTCTTACGTGCTTCCATGTACAAATATTTTAATAAACTTAAGTAAAACTGTTATTTCTGACACAAATGGTATTGTTTCCCTGTAGGTCTTCCCATTACATCAAGTGATTAGAACCTAGAAAATCTTCTAACAATTCAATTTTTTTT